AATTAAAAGCCAAAAATCTGGGGGCTGAACTAAAAAAAATCAACAAGATATATATTACATAAGAACATATAGAAAAAAGTATATTGTACAAACACTAATAGAATCTGATATATTAATATCAGAGTAGTCATTAAGGAAAAAATATATTATGAAAGATAAAGGGAATATTTTATAATGATAAAAGTGTCAATCGCATTGAAATACAAAAATTCTAAATTTATATGTTCCTGATAATGTAACTTCAAAACATAAACAGCTAAAATTGACAAAGAGAAATAAACAAATGCATCAGCTTAGCAAATTAATTAAGAACCTTCTTTCAGCAATTGATAGAACAAGCAGATTTCAACAAATCAATATTTAAGATTCTTCGAACAAACTTGACCTGTTGCTATTTATAGAACATTCCCAACAGCTGCAGAACACACACTTTTCCAGTGCACGTGGAAGTTTTATGAAAACAGAACAGGTGCCGGGACAAAGAACAAGTCTTAATGACTCTCAAAGCATTGAAATCCTGCAGCAAATGTGCATAGTGGAATGTGACCAGAAACAGATAATAGAACTGTCACTGGAAAGTCCTCGCTCTGCTTGGAAATAAAGAACATCCTTCTAAGTAATCACAAAAGATTCAAAGGAAATACAGTAGAAATTAGAAAATATTGAAGAGTCAGCATCAAACTTGTGAGCCGCAAAGCAGGATTCAGAGAAAACATATAGCTTTATATCCTTTTGTTTAAAATGGTCAGGTTAAAAAACAGTGATATAATTTTGCAGCTCAAAAAGCTGGGAAAATGCTTAAACTTGGAAGAAGACAATAATAAAGAGTTTAAAAGTAGACATAAGATAAGTAAAGAAGTAGGCATAAAATAGAAAAAGTCAACAAAGTGAAAAGGTGTGTGTTTGAAAGTATTAATAAAATTGACACACCCCTACCAAGGAAAATAACAAAGTTCAGATTCACAAGAATGAAAAGGAAGCATCAGTATAAATGCTTATCTACAGGATAAGAACATATCATGAACAGTTTTACTCGATGGGAATAGAGCCAACAGCTTATATGAAGTGAACACGTGTCCTGAAAAGTGCACCACACCACAATGCCATGAGAAGGGGTCTCAAATCTGTTACACATAGGCAGTGACTCCCCAGTCATAAATCTCCCCACTGCAGTTGTGTTTTTCAGCTGAACAAGCTCTCAGGGTTAGGCCTTGCTCGTTCTTGGCCTTTAAGCCCCTGTGGCTGGCAAGTTCTGTACCCAGTTGACTCCCCTAACAGGTCCTTTCACACTGCTCTCTGTCTGTTTACAGTCTCGTGGTCGGAGTCTGAAGGGACCAATTAGTACCCCACATTTTCCTTTTCCCAACTTCTGTACCCTTGACGGAAGTCAAGATTAGAATAAGGATGCTGACATTTCATGTACCATGTACGGAAGGTGAGGTAGCACAGCGTGTTTAGGTCTGCATCTCATCTTGTTCCTTCAAGCTGGAGGGACTTAACTGGCCCTGTTGAGCTTATGGTGGGCAAGCAGGTTCTAAGGGAGGAAGAGACTGGTGACCAGGAGGCCCTATCTCATGGACTAGGTAAGAGACAGAGAGAAAGAGATAGTGTTGAGTCACCCACCACCTCGGGCGGAGCCCTCCTTCCAAGCAGTCCGGCCTACCCGGGGCACACAGAACCCCAGCTGGTGCACCGTGGACCCCTTCCAGTTCCTGTCATCTGGACCTTCTGCCCTCCTGTGAACAAATTCTTACAGTTTGGACCTTTTCCTGTAATTCCTCTTCCCTCTCCTTCCCAGAAATTTAAATCTGGCTTTCACAGACAGTGCCAATGTCTTTTTTTTTTTTTTTTCACGATCATATCAAGAGAAAGTATGGAGTTTTATGTGCCCCTTTGCTGTGCACTGTCGAATACAGATTGTGCTGGTGCCTTTATCGGCAGCTTCTTGTGTAAGTTGTATACCACCATCACCCCTTTGCCATTCTTGCTGTTGGCTGACTTCATGCTAGTGCTCCAACTTCCTCAATGATGTCAGCTCTGGGCTTAAAACTATCATCTTCCCCGAAGCCCTCTGATTATAATCTGCTTCTCCAAATTCATGTTTGAGCTTCTGATGCTCAGAATTCTGTTTTATAATTTCTTTGCCTTTTGTCAACCAGAATTGTTCTAAGATCTCAAATACTGAAAGCCCCTTCTTTCTTTTCTCCACATTTCTGGTGGATTTTTTTCCTCTCAAATTCTTAAATATCCCTTCATTCATATACTTTGTCTTATCCTCTCTCTCTCTCTCTCTCTCTCTCTCTGTGCCCCCCCTCCTGTTCTTTTCCCATCTCTTATGATCTTACAATTGGATTTGAACCCCCTCAACTTTATTCCTACACAAAAAATTTCATCTGTATCCACCAAGCATTCTTTCTAAATGTAGAGAGGGAGCCGGGGGCAGGCACCGTAGGGCAAGGAGTTAAGCTACTGCTTGGGTTGCCTGCATCCCGTATCAGAATGCCTAGTTGGAGACCCAGCTACTCTGTTCTGATTGTGTCCTGAGAGGTGGCAGATGATGGCTTGAGTACTTGGGTCCTTGCTACCCATGTGGGAGACCCAATGGAGCTCCAGGCTCCTGGCTTCAGTGTCGCCTAGCCTTAGCTGTTGTGGGCACTTGGGGACTGAACTAGTGGATGGAAGAACTCTGTATTTGTCTCCCTTCCTCTCTCTGATACTCCTCCTTTCCAATAAATAAAACCGTTTCTCCTCTTTCACATGGCTAACCCTACCAGAGTTCTTGTTGCCACCTTCTCTTGGATTCGCTCCATTATTTGCCACTCCTCTTTCCATGTCTTCCTTTTATTAGCATGAACAATGGAAATAAAAAATCAATAACAACAACTAAAACTTTGTGAATGATTCAGCTTCCCTTTCAAGCTATGCCAGGCCTCTTGGAAGGATAAAGTTTACTGGTATATTCCATTTCTCTCTCTCTCTCTTTTTTTTACTTTAATCCCCCAGTTATTGGAAATTTTTGTACTCTTATTACCTTCCTGAAACGTCTTCTGTAGTTGCCTGTGACTGTTAAGTTCTACACAGCCCCCCTTGTGCCCTGAAAAGCAGAGGGCATTCCCTCCTCTCACTCTTCTTCCACGGCTTCACTGGTGAATACCACTCTTGTGGAAGACCCTTCTGGAGTAATCCTCATAGAAGGTGGACAGGGACAGACTTTGGCAACTGAGGCACCATTTGGGATGCCCACCTCCCAAATCAGAGTGCCTGGGTTCAGGTCTCGGTCCACTCTACATTCTGGCTCCTGCCAGTGTGCACCTTGGGAGGCAGCTGATGATGGCTGAGGTACTTGGGTCCCTGCCACTGGATCAAGTTCCCAGCTCCAGTCTTCAGCCTGGCCCAGCCTCAGCTGTTAAGGCATTTGGGGAGTGAATCAGTGGATAGGAGAAAATCTCTCCTGTCTCTCTGCCTCTCAAATAAAATAGATAAATAATTTTGAAAAGAATAGAGAAAGGCTGACTGTTCTATTGACTTACTGTAGCAAGAAAAGACTACACAGGTTGTTCTCCTTGGAGAAAAGAAGTGCATAGTTTTTCTTTTTTCCTAATTTTCTTAAAGATGTATTTTATTTGTTTGAAAGGCAGAGTTAGAGAGAGCGAGATCTTTCATCCACTGGTTCATTCCTCAATGACTGCAATGGCAGGGATGGGCCAGGCTGAAGCCAGGAGACAGAAGCTTCTAACAGGTCTCCCACATGGGTGACAGGGGCCCAAGGACTTGGACCATCTTCTGCTCCTTTCCCAGGCACATTAGCAGGGAGCTGGATTGGAAGTGGAGCAGCCAGCCATATGGGATGGAAACCGGCACCCATATGGGATGCTGACATTGTAGGTGGCAGCCTAACTTGTTGCCCTACAGGGCCAGCCTCCCATGGTTTTTTCTTGATTGCAGATTGGGCTCTGAAGTTCTAGAACACGATGTCAGAAATGAAGGAAGTGATTGATGTGTTGGTTTCTTCAGACTGTGGTTGATTCATGCAGGGCATGGTTCTGATCGAAAAGATGGGTCTGTTGGCAGCCAAGACAACCTGTGCTTGCCACCGAATAACCCATGTTGGTGACTGCTCCAGCTGTCAGTGTGCACCACTGGTTGGTGGCTGTTCTGGCTCTCACTCTATCAAACGCACGCACCTTCAGTGAATTTTTCAACCTTCTCCTCTCTCTGCGGTTGCCCTGGTTTCCTCTCCTCTTGATGCTGAAGTAATGAAGCAGGTCCCACTGGCTTTTGAATCTTCTCACATCAGCTAATAACCCAGAACCAGAACCCATTTTGTTAAAATACGAATTTGAATGTGTTCTCTACTGAGAACTCTCGATGGCTCCTGCAGACCAAAGCCCTGTCTGGCGCTGAATCCAGTACTCAACATGAACACTCCAACCCCAATGTCTGGTCCTCATCTCTCTGTCTGTCTCCCTCTCCAGCTCCTGTTCTGTGTTCATCCGTAATGTAGAGCCTCCCCACACATTCCCTGCAGTAATTAGCCCTCTCCCGGGTCCTACAGCTTTCTAGACCACGCAGGACACTTTTGGCTGCCTTGGCCTGGAATTTTTTGTGTTTGTCTCTTCTGGAAGTTTCTTTGTGAACTATCTCTTTTAGCTTCATTCTTCCCTGCTTCTCATGACACTGGTTGGGACTCAACTGTCAGCTGCATTTTAAATAATTCAGTTTAAACCAGACTCATATATCCAGTAATATATTTTCGAGAATTTTTAGGAGATTGATGTAAAAATATATGAAGGGAATGTATTATATCTCCTATTTTAGAAGCCTTTGAGTGCAGCTTGAGATTTTTATTTTAGGTTCTTAAATTATACATGGCATAAGTGATGTCGATTTTATAGGACTTCATATAACTCTTTTATGGTCCTCCAGGTGTAATCATCTAATTGGCTTCTATAAGCCAGCAGTCCTCCTAGTTCCATTGTTTTCATTATGTTTGTTTTCAGATGAGGAGGAATGGAAGGCACGGCTCATCCAACACTGCAGTTTTGAAGCTGGAAGACATCTGCTAAGTCAGGCTGCTTCAGGTTAGTCTGCTCACGCCCCTCTTAGCACCAGCTCAAGACGGTTGTAAAATTCAAAGCATTAAGTCCACTACCTTGGTACTTTCTCAACTCTCAAAACTTCTTGATATGCAAATTGTGGTTACCTTGGCTTTTAAGTTACTGAAAACGGCAAAAAGATGATTTCTTACTAAGTTCCATATGCTCATAAAACACAGTGTTTAAACTCATGGTGCTTTAAAAATGAAGCTAAAACTTCTAAGTCATCCTTTTATGTGCTGAGTCTCATCATAAAGCCCTGTGCACTGAACCTGATGCTCCCAAAATGGTTTTTCCATTGTAGCCAGCATCTTCTCAAGCAAAGTCTTAACTTTTCAAAATGATTTATGGGTTCTCATTATAGGGGATAATTTTATCAATGAACTAGCATTGGAACCTTAGGTGGCTATTAACTATTTATTTAAAAACCTGGGTTTGCATGAGAATCTTTTTTTAAGGTCTATGTTATTTTATTTATTGGAAAGGCAGAGTTAGAGGAAGAGAGAGGTGAAAGGGGAGAGAGAGAGAATAACTTCCATCCACTGGTTCACTCCCCAAAAGGCCAGGCCCAAGCCTGGAGCCTGGAACTCCATCCTGTTCTCTCATGTGGGTGGCAGAGGCCCAAGCACTTGGGCCGTCTTCAGCTGCTTTCCCACGTGCATTAGCAGGGAGCTGCGTTGGAAGTGGTGCTCATGGGGGATGCCGACATTGCGGATGGCAGCTCAACCCATGGTGCCGCAACACCAGCCCCTGCTTGATCATGTTAACCTGCCACACCTCATAATAATTTCCCAATCATCTTTCTGTGTTCATTCTCTTCTTCCCTCCTTGTTCTGCACCAGATAAATCTTCACATAGAACTACTTTTGTGATTAAAGAACCCTTAGGGGCTTCCGACTCCGTTACATGGAGTCCATGTCCCTTTGCCCGGCATTCAAAGCTCTCTACCCAGCTCCTAAAAATATCTCCCACTTGAGCCAGCTGGACTCTTTCCTGCTGCCTGCCCTCTCCTTGCTCTCCCCACGTCTGCCTGTAATGTCCCCTCCTCCCTCGCCGTCTCCCCCAGCTGTGAAACCCTGCACACGAGGCTCTTGCTGATGGCTCCAACAGCAGCTCTGGCTCTGTCTGCTCTCTGCTGGCTTCATCCAATGTCGTGTTTATTCACACTCACGGCACATTTTACACGCTGCTTTATTGTTTGTGCTCACGGCGGCCTAATCTCGCGCCCTAGGTTACCAGGACCTGAAAATCAAATATCTTGTCTAATTCTTATTTTGTCTCCCACAACAGTCAGCGCAGCCTTTAATGGTGCATAGTAAATATTTCTTTAACAAATTTAAAATGTCCTTAGCTATTTCTTCCGACACTCCCTCTGTCTTTCATCCTTATATATACACTCTGTATTCCTGGCAACTATTCACTTCTGTTGGGCATGCCTGGCTGCCATCTTATCTTAGGAAAATACTGACCGTAGTGCGGTTAGCAAGATAAAGCCTGTTCCCGGCCCAAGGAATAAACCATATTCTGAAAGTTCATGTCTAATTCTGTTGTTTGGAATGCAGAAAGCACTTTCCCACCAAAACAGCGTTATAAATAGTGGTTAGGATCGCAGCCAGCACCTCCCAAGACTGTTTAACTCATAAGTATCAGAGCCGTTCAGCTGTCGGCAGCCACCATAAACTGCACTGTTTGGTAGGAAAAAGTACTAACCCCACACACGGTGGTGCTTCTCCCGTGCTGCAGCGACAAGACAGGGGAGTTTGTGGACCGTTTCTGGAGTGGTGGGAGCGCCTGAGCCAGGCTCCGGTAGTGGCTAGCATGTGGGGTGAGGTTACCGGCACTCCCATATTGTCTACACTGAGGGCAAAGGGGCCTTGCTCTTCTGGGCCTCACCACAGTGGATTAGGATGGCAAACAGGGCCACAGATGTTCTTTCCCCCGAGTGGGCCTTTTATAAGTCAGGTGTTGACACATGGGGGACTATTTTATTACTCCCCCTTCCTGCTCGCCTGCAGATGTGTGGGAATTGAATACGTAAACATGGAAAATACTTCTATCTCTAGGGAAGGCAACAAGTATGGGTATCACCCTGTATTTGGCATCTCATAGTTTGTGTGGACGGGTGATTATCATTTCTACGTGGGCATAACGAGGCTCCCCGTGACAAACATGTCAGTTTATGTGCGTAAACAACCCTGGAGGCTGACGGTTCGGGTTGTCAGGCTGTAAGAAAGGAACACTTCATAAATTTCAGAGACTTTAATTTACCCAGTCATCGCAAGTATCAAGCGTACATGAGCGTCTGCTGCACGCTGAAGACTCTTGTCACTGCCCGGGGCGAGCGAGTGATGCAAAGTTTGCCTTCGCCCTGGAGCCTGAAATACACAGAGCAAATAACCCAGGAGAAGCTGACAGTGCAGACAGTGTTCTTAATCGCCACGAAGGGAACAGACACGCGTGGGACTATCAGCATGGCCCTGTCACTGCGCGTGGCCGTGCTCGCCAGGATACTTGGTGGGACTTGGGGTGGGCGTTGGGTAAGAGCAGGGGTTCAACCCTGGGAGTACATAAGAGTCACCCAGATATGTTTAAAGCTGGGTCCCTTCGATTGTACCCAGGACTAATAAACAGAATTTCTGGGCTGTGGGGCATGAGCCTGTTTATCTTGTAAAGCTCCCCTTGAGATTCTGATACTCAGCCAGGATTGAAAATCCCCGGATGAGTAGGGTGGTCCAAATTTAGGAGAGCCAGGAATGGCCCGCTGAGGAGTTTGGCCCCTGTCGGTCATGCAGGGAGAAGCCCGCAGGGGCTACTGGGACGCGTTCAAGTCTCTGTTTGCCAAGATAAATGTTTTGTCCACTATGTGTGAATGGAAGACAGACAAGGAGCAGCTTGAACTAGACAAGTGCTAGTGGGAAGAAAGAGAGGAGTCATGTTTAGAAGTGTGGGAGATGGTGATGTCAGCCTTGACTCCAGCATGCTCTGTTTTATAAACTGATTATTCAGCCTCACCCTCGTGGACTCAAGCTCTTTGCTCTTACAACCTGGCAGCTTACACAGTCATTCCAGCCAGTTTGCATTTAGTGGAAGGAGACCCTTGCCTACTCATGTACGTGTCTCACTCACAGCAGTGAGTGAAGTTAACGTGTCGTTCTGAAGCATGTAACCATCTCCCCCGTGTGCAATAACACAGCACCCGTCCTGCAGGTCCGCACCCAGCACCAGAGGCACACGGACAAGGGGCTTATGGACACACAGTTCTACAGCTTGTGAGTGGAAGCTCCGAGCGATGTCCTGAGCTACGCTGTGCATTTTCATATTTTTTAGCACTGCATCTGATAATTGCTTCAGCTGCTGGTGGCCAACCTAGGCGGGCCTCCTGACTGCGACTCCTCTCCATACGCCGAGCTCGGACTTCTCTCCCTGCCTTCCCCTGCAGTCGGTGCAGCCCATCCCCCCCTCACATCCATCCAGCCTCACCCAGAGGGAGAGCTGAACCCATAGAGGGGAGATTTCAAGGAGTCAGGATGTCACGCGCTTGTGGCCCTGCTCAGCGCAACGGTCCTGGTGACCTTTTGGCTCCTGCCCCACCGTGGGACATGACACCAAAGGTAGCCACACTCGGGAACAGCAAACCGTACCCGTGGTTGGAAACACTTTTGCTCACCTGTGGTGAGTTTGGAGGTGTTGTGTGGAGACACTGAGCCACACAGAGTAGGCAGCAGAGAGCAAATCCAAGTGGGAAGTGTGTGTGGCCCACCCCTTCTAAAACAGGCGTCACATCGTGACTCCTTAAAAAGTCACCTCTTTCCCGGCTGTCTGTGCTGGCACAGACATGACAGTTTGTGCTCTGGCCTTCGTGGTCTGTGACAATGGACTGGTGTCGTTTTATTTCTTTACCTCCACATCCGTGGGGTTATTTTCTTAGCTATTTAGATTGTCACTGATCATTCCTGGATGTGGGCTTCTTCCTGAAGGACCTTGCAGGAGAGAGGGAGGAGAAGGAAGCCAGTATCCATCACGGGCCCAGGCACCTGCCGTGCTCTTTGCCTGAGTTATAAACGAACAAGACAGGTTTTAGAGAGATTTTAAACTCTCATCCAAAGCCAAAAGTAGAGTCAGCAGTAGAAGTTGGCTTTGAAAGCTGCCCATCCGCGTGGCTTTTCATTTGTGGGGGGAGATCGGTGAGCTCAGCCCCAGGAGCTCACTTCGTCTCTGGCACTGTGTAACCTGGACAAGTTACCCAGCATCCTCACCTGGCACAGGGAGGGGGCGGGGCATCAACACCTGTGTCCTGACCATTTGGGATGCTGAGAAGAAGGAGATAGTGGACTTCAGTGTGATTTTATAGATAGAGAGACCCATGGGAGTTTGTGAGATTTTGTTTTTATTTTACTTATTTGAGAGGTGGAGTTACAGACAGAAGAAGAGACAGAGAAAGGTCTTCCATCTGATGGTTCACTCCTCAAATGGCCGCAATGGCCAGAGCTACGCTGATCCAAAGCCAGGAGCTTCTTCTGGGTCTCCCATGCAGGTGCAGGGGCCCAAGGACTTGGGCCATCTTCCAGTGCTTTCCCAGGCCATAAGCAGAGAGCTGGATTGGAAACGGAGCAGCTGGGACAGGAACCAGTGCCCATATGGGATGCTTGTGTTGCAGATGGAGGCTTAGCCTACTACACTATAGCACCAGCCCCAGCATTTGTGAGATGTTTAATTCAAATGAAATAAACATGAATGGATGAGTGCATGAATGAATGAATGAGACGACTTGGGCATGTTTTGTGGCATTGCACATCTTAGCATTGCTCATTATCCGAAAATAAAGGACAGTCAGTTTTGCAAGTTCCAACCCCTGTGATTTGTAGCAGACTGTGAGGCTGGCCGTTTAGTAGCTCAGTGTAGCAGAGAGTGTCCTGGCAACACATCAGGTGCCTCCTGTCACCTACCAGAAGCAGCTGGTAGTCCATGTGCCGTAACCAGCAGGT